GGGGGAGGACCATCTGTATCTCTTCGCAACACTTGTACGTTCCAAAACTTTCCGAGGTCATTTTGCCCAGAGCTCGCGCCATGTCCGTGCCGAAAGGACCGACTTCGTCCATCATATCGCAGTAGCTTTCATTCTCGAGGAGCTTCAGGTTATTAGCGGCTGCAATACCAACAACATAATCTCTCAAGCCGCGGTCCATTGCGGGTGTTGTGGTGTAGATTTCCTTGATGATTTGAGGCAACTTTGTGAAAATCCGGACTGATCCGCCAGTGAACTTAGATTTCGCATAGTTCTTTAGGTCTTGCGAGCCATATATCTCTCCCATGGCGTACATGCGCACGTGAAAGAGTGCATGTGAATACCTCGGAAGCTATGTCTTGCCTGGAGGCTTACCGAGCGAAAGGAACTCAAGCATGGCCTTGACGCTTTCTGGGCTGTCATGATTAAGCTCAATGACGCCCTCCTTGGATTCCTGTTCCGCGATGTCAGCTTTACAACACTACACGTAAGCCGCTCGGCCTTCCCAGGTTCTCCCAGAAGATGAATACAGTCTGGGCTCGTTTCCACGCTGACTTTTTACTAACCTTGAACCCCTTTTGTGGGTCGCATGCATTCCTCAACACGGGGCTCTGTGAGAAGAGAACGAGCTTGTGGACCTTAAGTTCGTCTCCGTTACTGCATTTGACTATAAGGTCGGAGTATTCGCCAGTTTCGAAAAACCTGTTGGTTCGATCAGCACGCATTCGTTCACGGAAAGTGGAGGGAAAGTCTTACTCCCTCAATCCCTTCGCCATGGATGCAGGGGTGCCAGTGCTTGCCCAAGCCATGGTGATTGTGAAGTTGTAGAAATCCGAAGTTGTCTGCCGGTGCGCTTTCGCGCGTGATTTCGAGGGCTGGTATTGCCAGGAGTCGGAACGAGAAACTAACCGGAGCTTGACGGGGTAGAGGGAAGGTTTAGAAGCAGGTTGGCGGGAGAATATATATGTGTGTCGGGGGTCAATGCGCTATGGCGCTAATACAGATTTGGAACATGGTGAAAGAAAGGGTCTGCGGACCAGTCAAACGAAATCTTTGATTGCAGGCAGGCACGCTAGGTAAGGTAACACTTTAACAGATCCTTGACTATTCACCTGTTTCTGCGCCTTTCCCATAACCACAACAACGCTAACGTATCTGGGTCATTATTTAACTGTGCGATGCGGCGCCCGGCCAACCTGTTAAAGTCATAGAGTGAATGTTCGTAACATACAAAGAGTAGTCTTGGGCCACGCTATAAGAGTACCCGATCACTCTCCACTTCCTGGCCACTTTTCGTCAACTTTTTGACCAGCCGTCCAAGATAATTGGCTAAACTTTTCCTTTTCATACAAAACCTTCTAACCACAACAATCGATGCCAACTAACAGTAGGTTGCTAAGAAAGCACCATGAACCTAGGGATGAACTAACTAAGTCAAACAGATGAGAGACGTCTCGCTTTTCAACCTTACCAGCAGCGAGCGGCGTGCGCTCCTGAAGGGCAATAAGATCACTATCTGTCTCGAGATGTCTGGCCGCGAAATCTTCACTGCTGGAGATTACCCGAAGCTTCTGATGTTGTCCGTTTCAGACATTGGCAAGTTCGGTAACGACACCGGTTATGGCACATTCACACTCCCGCGAGGCTCTGCCAGTTCATCCTCTCTTGTTCGTGTCCTGAGGTACCTTGTCTCCTCCTGCAGATTCCACCTGCCCATTACGGTTCCGCTCTCGGGGGATATTTGGAATGATGTAATCACGTACCAAACTACCATCAGTCTGGGCCTCAAAGACTTTGAGTGCTCTCTTGGAAACGACTTAATCACTCTAATCCACAGCCGTCAGCCCACTTCTCAGGAGTTCCGCGCCTTCTTCAAAGTTCTACCCGCAGATAACCGTGTCATCAACAGCTTGGTTCATGTCACGGCTTGGCGCCGTCGTCATGGCCGCTTAGCCGATGAGGGCATCAAGGCATACATCGAATCTCACCCTTACCTTCTTCAGCGGTTCAAGTGTATTGATGTGGTCGTTGCTTGGAAAGAATGCCTAGACGTCTAGAGGTAGAGCATCGGAGATGACAAAGCACGCTTTGTTGTTTGGATAAGACCAAAGGCTGTGTACAGGTGATGGAAAGAAATTATAGTTACTAGAGGGTAAAAGACTAAGACTTCATTACCGATATTAAACACCATTGGTTTCTCGAATATTCGTTTGGACACACGAGGCAAGTTCGAAGACGGAGGAGCCAAGGTACCAGTCCCCGAAGTCAAGCGCGACCATGGTTATGGATATACAGCATTGGCCCATGATTCTTTCTGTATCTTTTGCCACACTACGTGAGATTAGATCTGTGTGTGGGTTTGTAACTTACTTACGCTGTCAAATTCGTACCCTTATACATTTATATATCTTTATCTTCACACTCTTTTGACTATTTTCATGCCCTCGCATTCTTAAGTTTTTTACATCTTCGTAGAGAACCCATATTCATCGTATACTTGTGTAGTTATGTCTTTATAAATCCTAACTTATCCTCGCTCCTTTTCACTTTTATAGGCGTCTAGTAAACTCTGACCGTAGTACCATAGCTTGTGATAACTACCTAAGAAGCAATTAGTAGGTAGGTAGACTATCCGCTGGCAACTATATTTACCACCATCGGTGATGATGTTTAGACGAAGAATGCTATTATTTGAAGATACCTGAACGTATGAAATTTCCGAGATATAACAAACTGGAAACCTATGTCTCTCCTTCCGTTGGGTCTGGTTTCGGCTGACGAACCATACACTGAACCAACATCAGCATCATCTACACAAACTTCACCAGACATACCCACCACATGATGCACCACGCCCTCCTCGCCAAACTGGCCCAAATCAAAAGGTACATCTTTCGCTACCTCAAAGCCCATCTTCTCATACAGGCCCTGTCCCATTGGTGTCGCCTCAACAAACGCCTCCAAGCCCATCTCATCCGCTTTGTCCAGCCCCCATTGCAGCAACACACTGCCGGCGCCTTTCCGACCATGGTCCGGATGGGTAACAAGAGTGGCCAGATATATGTGCGGACGCGTACCCATCACCTCTTTGTGCCTACGGAGAATGGGCTCAAAAAGCGCTTTGTAGACCGGGGCGTTGAACTCCGGTATGAGTTCATCATCAGTGATAATGGTCTTTTTGTCCATTTCTTCTTCAGTTCGCCCGTGCTCGTATACATGCCATCTGGCGCATGCGATGATCTCGCCAATGTCGGTGTCCGTGATCTTGAGGAAGCGCGCAGTTGCGTCCTCACGAGCTATGCGCTTGCGCGTCTCGGTGAGCTTTTCCAGAGACTTGGCGGATGGCGGACTGTTATACAAGAGCGCACTGATGCCTGATGTGGAGTAGTAAGCTGCATGTAGAATTTGCGTCAGTCGCGGGAAATCCGCTTGTTCCATAGGTGAGAGGACGAGTGTCATGGTGAAATATGAGTCGTGATAATAGGATACGTGTGGAAGTGCGAAAAAGCTCAAAGGATGAACAGACTCTGGAGAACCACTGTTGAGGCTTTTGTTGAGTTATTCGCTAGGCAGCAGTCTGGTGGTCAGCTGCCCAGTAGCTATCTCAAAGAGGCAGGCGGAAATGCTAGGCTATGCTTGAAGCATCAATTGGAAGTCAAACAGCCGAATCTCTGCCTAGTAAGCCTAAAACAATAGTCTCGCAGAGAAATAGTCGAAAGCGGAAGAGAAATTCTTCATAAAAATTAGATATTTGAGATTTTAGATGTATATTTAAGTTGTATTAACTTCCATCCAAACATATCGTCTTGAATATTTCCGATGGTACACAGTGACTGACCATTTCCGATGTTTCTGAAGAAGTCAATTCCAGATCGATGGTAAGATTGGCTATGGTCAAAGGTGGAGTTTAGTCGATATGCAGGAGCTTAGCCGGAAACAAGTCTAACCGTTTAAGGACATCTTCCTGGAAAGTGATAGCGTTGGACAAGCAGCTATGCAAGACGCGCGACGCGTAAAGAGAGACGCGTCAAGCCTGCTGTGACAACACTGCATTTCCCCTGCGTCAAGCGTTTCTCACGCAATCTTAATCTACTGCCATGCTACTACTGCATCGTCGAAGCAACGCATGGGCCAAAATGTGTGGGTGCTAAATCAAAACATTCGGGGTAAGCTGCAGGAACATTGAGAATAGTCCCGTCTCACCGCTTATCTTCACAAATACGGAGGTGATTGTCGGTCCCGAGTCAAGTTGAATTGCTTTTCTCAGATGGCAGTGGTGTCACAATGATCTCAAAAGACAGCAAAGCCAGGGGAGCGGCTATACGATAGCATAATTTCGCGGCTTATCGCTGCAGTTAGGCCAGGGGAAGCTGGCTTTGAAACGTGCATCCCAAACGCATCGTTGTGTCTGTCACCCTGTCACGCCTGTAAACAGCGTAAGCGAACACAGAGTCTTGTCAACAGGCATCCCGACCAGTAGCACAGCACCAACCGGATGTATCGGAACGCCCCCGTTCAAGGATACTCAAGTGGCTGGGAGCCGTTTGAGCCGCTCATGTATCTCAATCTGCCATTACCTCTTGCACTGCAAGGCACTGACGTACTTACGCGGGGGGGTCAAAAGCGTCCTGTAAAAGACCCCTGCTGATCCCGAGCGTGGAAATGCAGTATTAGACATACATTAACTTCGGATAAGGATACATTCAAGAAGTTGGAACTTGTTGAGTACCAAAAACCTACGGTATACTCAATTTTTTAGAACCCTGGCACCATATGGAAGTTAGAAATATTCTCTCCCGGTCAACGATACAATAGTTAGCAGACGATCCAGAGAAAGTACGGATACAACTTGGATGTGAGCAGTAACAACAACTGCATGCTTTTCTGTCCAGCAGGGGGTACGGGGAACTGCGGTCCGATCGCTTCATGCCGCTTCTGCCACAGAAATATGTAGGATCCCAGGTACAACCTCCATGTGCGAAATATTCCCCTTGTGTCCCTCTTTTCTTGTTCTTTCTTTTGCCCTTCCCTGTATTCTTTCACGCAGGCAACGCCTCTGTTCTTGGGTATTTCCTTTCTTAAAAGCCATTGTCTTTCGGCGTCGTAGTGTGAGCAACTGTTTCCATTGACTTCACGAAAAGCCATCTTTGGCAAACCATTAGCCTTGGTAGGTTCTAGGTTAATAGAAGGTGCGGTAGATGTAAGAAGATCGCTAACATTACAAGCTGTTTCAGTCACACTCAACGAATTGTCGAAATTTCTCTTCCAAACCACAGCACCATGTATCTTTTTTCATCCAACCGTGCGAAGTCCGCCACCCTGGCTCCTGAGAGAAAGCCAGCCAAGCAACCACAAACGGGAACCACAACATCTCAGCCGATAAAACAAGAGCCAGTAAAGCAAGAACCGGTGGAGCAGGAGATTGTGAAGAAAGAACCGGGCCCGGAACCAGGCCCATCAGAGTTCCCGAAGCGAGTCAAAACGGAGGACACCGAACCACCAGTATGGGGTAAACTTCCGGAGAAGTTAGAGGACACGCCGCCGAGGCCGATGCAAGAGCTCATCGAAGAAACCGAAGAAGCTGATGAGCAGCTCGTGTTTCCTGAGCCGGGTCACGAGGATGACTGTTCGCCGGACTCACCAGCCAATTGTTCCCATATGCAATGGTTCGAGCATTACAATCCCAGCTGGCGTGGCTCGGCCATCCTTCCCGATTCTGCTCTCGGCCGTGCTATCGATGGTGGCCTGGTGTACATTGCCGACAATGGGGATATCCTTCCATGCGTGAAGGAGGAAGGGTCAGCAACAGGCGCCGAACCAAAGGAGGAAGGAAATGACGACGACGACGGTGACAAGATGATGGACGTAGACGTAAAGAAAGAAGAACCCGAGCCCGACCAAGAAGAAGGTGGTGTCGCAATCAAGGAAGAAGACTCTCACGAGAAACACTCCGAGCCTGAGTCTGATTCGGACTCGGACACATCATCGGAGAGCAGCTCCGATTCAGACTTGGACTCCGACTCTGACAGCGGTTCCGACGCCGATTCAGACAGCGATTCAAACACCGAGTCGACGTCGGATTCGAGTTCCTCATCCTCCGATTCCGACGAAGAAATGCCCGACTCCGAGGGGGAGGAAGAGTTTGGCGACGGCATCAAGCCTCTGGACGTCTCGTTGAAGAACTTCGCCGAAGCGATACAGAACACTTCGGCCCAGATCATGACTGCGCTCGCGCAGATGAACTACATGATCGCTGTCAAGGACGAGCTCCTTGATCGGAAGGACAGGGAGTTGAGGATTGCTAGGCGGACCGCTGCTGAGGTGGCCCTCCACCGACACAAGCGGAGGGCTGTTTGGCGCCGGGGCGTGGACGGTGATGGCCGCAGCTACCTCTACAAGGTTTGATTGGGGGTGTTGGTCCCAAATTGGGCACTTGTCCAATCTCTACTGTTTTTCTTTTGAAGTTGTCTTGGTGATGGCGTTGTTGCGGTTCACTTTTGTCTTGGGGGTTCTCTCACTCGTTGTAGCTATTACTGAAATATTGTATTATGTCGTACACCGATCCAACCTACTGAACATTCGCCATGTCTTTGAAAAGCTGTCGGAGCTAATGCGCTATCATCTACGGATCCCCTGGAGTCTTTCGTGTCCCATATTCCACACTTCCGGCTGGAAAAGTTTTGCAAGTCACGGGTACATCGTCTGTCTTCCAACATCTCTTAAACCCATCAGCACAAGAACCGCACCACCGAATACCACGCATGCGGCTATTTACGATCATGCCGACCGTGTCATAAAAACCCCACAGAGAAAAACAAAGCCCCTCATAACGAGGATCCCGCCCACCCGGGCTTCAGAGCAGCCCTGACTCATGTCGGCCTTTCCAGCCTTGCTGAACAGCATTTTAACGGTGAACTGTACGCCGACGCAGCGTCGGAAGTATTGTTGTTGTAGTTGGATATCGTTGTTTGTCGAATGTCGAGATCGTAGCGGTCTTCCAAAGTCGTTGAATTTGTCGTTGTGTATAATGTCGTGGCCAAAATATCGTGTTGTTGTATTGGTAGATTAGTATGGTTGTTCTTCTTCCAAGGAATGGGAATTCCAAATGTGCCGTCCAGTAATTATGTGTTGGTCTATGTTGTATTCACGGGAGATGGGCCGAAACATCGATGCTGATGTTGATTACATTGTATGCAGTGTGTCCAGGCAAGTCGTCTCAATGGTCGGTAGATATTCTCAAGTCCATTTCCCTAGAAGAGGGAAGTCGTTGCTTTTGATAGCCCTTGCGGTAGGCAGGTCTCTCATCCGAGTAGCTGTTAATATTTCTTCGAGTTCGTTCTCAAGCAACTTCAAGTGTTTGCAAATCGCGTGTCGTCCAATAATTACCTTGCATCTCTTTCTTTGATCTTACATTTTTCGGCTCAGCGGCCTTTCCTAGCGCTGGTAGTGCACTCCAACGATTACCTCTTTCTTAAACCTGCCCTCTTCTATGTCTGTTTTTGTCTGTCGGTCTGCATCTTGCCAAAGTTCTGTAGATTCTTCTTCGAATGCGTGGTTATTTTTATGATTCGTTGTGATGTCGACACTTCTTTGTGTCTGTGGTAGCCTCGTCATTCCTTGTTCTATACACTTACTTTCTATGTTCGTCAACCTCTGTTGACGTCTTTTAATCCCACTCTATCCTTTACCTCTCTCTCTCTTCGCCTATCCCTCTTAATTTCACTGTCTCTACGATTCTCTTTTCTAGCTCCACTCTTTCTAATCTCTCTTTAGCCTCTCTTCGTTTTAACTTTTCTCTTAACCGCTCTCTCTTAATATTTAACCTCTCTCCTAATACATCCCTCTTAGCATCTCTCTCACTTAACCTTTATTTCTTAGCTTCTCCCCTCTTAATCTCTTCCTTCTTAACTTCTCCTTTGGCTTCTCTATTACAACCTCGTCCGTATAGCTTCTCTCGTCGCCTCTCTCTCTCAGCTTTTCTTACTATTAACCTCTCATTGACCTCTCTTAGCGACCTCTCTTATAATAACATCTCTCTCATTGACCTCTCTCAACCTCTCTCAACCTCTCTCATCTTCTCTTACTACTCCCTCGTCCCAACACCTCACATCTTCTGCTCGTACAGCCCGTATAACTCGCACAACCCACACGAACACCCCACCATATCCCAGCCCGCAACCACGCGGCCCAGTCTCTCATCAAGCAATTCCATGCTGCCCACAGTCCGCTGTGACCTTGCTTCTCTTCTCTTCTCACTAGTCATCATTCCCTACAGCGAATACCAAATCAGTGCGACACCTTCACTTCAAATACTCTCACTTTTTCCACTGTATGGTTGCCTCTGCAGCTTGTCGCCTATCTTCTGTGCTTTGTTGATTGATGCTTCGAGTACGCCTGACCTCGAGCAACTTACTAACCTCATTCTAAATCTTCTGTGCGACTACGGATTCAGCAACTGTTCATCTTCCGTCGAGAACGCCGCGCTTCTGCGCTTCTATGGCCGCTGGGCCTGTCTAAGAGTACCACGCGCTTCTCGCCCGTATGTCGTTCGTGATGCATGTTACTACAGTACGCTCACGCGTCAATCATCTCCTACCAGATCATCCATCAAGGTCTCAATCAGTATTGCCCATGGAGGGCGCAAGTCACTCATCATCACAGCCGTCAAGACATCGTCAGTCATGCCATCCAAGCATGCACTGGAAATGCAAACCCACGGCGCACAACAAGCGCATGCAGTCTACAACCCCACAGGTGTTAAGGTCGTCTCATCATTAGAGAGACCAGCGTCTGAGGAGGCCACAAGGCCATGCCATGCCCCAACCTCAAGAGCACAAAGCCCATACGTATACAGGACTGAAGTCCTCATGTTTGTAGCCAGCAAGGTTGTAAAGCCCTCAAGCGCTCTCAAGCGCACAGCGCTCCAGCGTGCCTAGGTGCGAAGCCGAAGCCTTCACGTTGGCCCAGCAGTACTAGCACGGCGACCAGATCCGCAGTCCAGCAACACAGCCGCCAAGAACTGAGGCTTAGGGGTATCTCCGATGTTCTCTCAATGACATGGGCCAGTGAAGCGAGTCAAAGACCTTCTTGTCCAGCGAGCTTCGTTGCTGTCGTGTCCCTATGTGACGTTCCGATATGTTTGTCTGCCGCCGCGGTGGCTATGCTTCTGTCATGGTGTAGCGAGCAAGTATGCAAGCAAGCAAGCACTCATCCAGCAGCGCGCGCGCGCTCCGAGTCTCTGGCAGCGAAATGGCGGCTCGTTCTTGTTGGTGGAGTGATTTGGTTGCGACGAGAGGGTCGGTCATTCAGACACCCAGATCGTCGGAGCGGAGCGTAGCGAAGCGTAGCATGCCGTAGCGTGGCATGCCGAGGAGACGGCTGCCTGGCATTGCGAGTTGCGATGATGAAGGAGAAGAAGAAGAAGAATGAGGGGGGATGGGGCGTTTATAAAGGGGTCGCGGAGATGACGATGCGCGCGTGGTGAGCTAAGCAGCTGGTGCCGCTGTGCCCGCTTCGCGTCCTGTGGGGGTGGGCCGTGGGGACGTGAGGACCGAGGCTAGAGTAGGCTGCCGATCCTGTCACATGCGCTTTCGCTCGTCGTCGTCGTCGTCATCATCGCTCTGGCTGGCTTCACGACGGGACGAGCAGGTGAGCGTCGTTTTGGCGTTTGGTTGTATCGTGTTGCTGGCGAGAGCTCTTTATTGTCTGTCTGCCTGCTCTCCTTGCGCCACTCTGCACATCGGTCTCGTCGACTCGGCTCTGGGCAGAGCACTCGCGCGGCGAAACCCCTCGAACTGTTTTCCGCGGCGCAGTTAGCTCAACGACGGTTTCGACACCCGCGTTCAAAGACGACACCTGCGGTCGGGCAGCGACGACATCGGCATCTGGAGAAAGCACTTCAAGCCTTCAACTTCAACCCTCACAAAAACCAACCTTCTCTACACACCCTACCACACCCCACCCCTCCTCATCCATCCAATCCAAAACCCTACCCCTGCGACTTACATACTACAAAAATCACACAAAAAAAAAAAAAAAAAAAAAAAAAAAAATAAGTCTAAATCAAATCACAACACCCCACCATCTACTCATCCATCAATTCACAGGCGTAGCTAAGAACCACAAATGCTCCCACTACGACACCCCGCACCCACACATACCACTACATACCTAGGTAGAACCAACCCTACAGTACCAGACCCAAGCGCCTGCACCTGCGCCAGGCGCCAGGCAACCCACCCTAACCATGCACAGCACAGCACAGCACGGGACGGGACGGCACGACGGCACGACCCCGCCCGCCCGCGCGCTAGGTAGGCCACCTGTCCCCATCCCCGCCTTTTTGAGCCTTTTCGCCGCGCTGTAATGTAATGTAGAAACAAAAAAGAGAAATGCCATGGCCACTGGACAACATCAACATCATCAACATCAACGTGTCAAGTAAAAACAACAAGAACAAGAAGAAGAAGAAGAAGTGTAACAAAAACGCCAAAGCCACCCCCAACCCGCAGTGAAGTACCTCTTTCTTTCTTTCCTTCCGCTCTGTCCTCTCCCTCTGCATCTTAAGCAGTCAGTCAGTCCTAAAACGCCAAAGCTAAAGAAAATACCAAACGCCAAAACCAAACGCCAACATCAAGACCAACGCCAAAGGAACAGCAGACCGCCCAACCCGATAGACGATAAAAACACATAAGTACTTAGGCAAGATAAACGAGCACGCGCAGCGCTCTCGCCACCCTCGTCCACCAAAGTCCGATATCCGACATCCTATGTCGCACATCCAACATCCACACAGCGCAGCATCCATCCATCCATTCGTCCAAACGAACCAAACCAACCACCCACCCACCCACCACCAACAGAAGCAACCGCAGCAGGCCCAGCCCGCCTTAAAATTCCTTTCCCATCAAGGTCCAGGTCCAGGTCCAGGCCACCGCTACCGCCCCTCATCAGCATACCACGCACCAACACGCGCGCACGCCTCCCTTCCCCTCGCGGCATTGTAGCGCAGTTCCGGGGACCAGGGGCAGGGCCCTGCTCGCAGGTGGGAGGAGTGGTGGGGTGACGGCGATGACGGCGCATCCCGCGCGGCTAGCGCGGTCTCGAATGCCGTCATTGTTGCTGGTGCTGGTGACGTCGTCGTCGTTCGTTGCGCCACGGCGTGGGGGGCAACCGCTGGTGGTGGCGCAGCGCCGCCGCGCGGACTCTTGCCGCTATTGCTGCTATTGCTGCCAGCGCAAGTGGCGTAACCGGACGACGAGGGCGCAGCGGCGGCGGCGGAGGAGGAGCTAGGCGTGTAGATCGTGGGGGCGTTGGTGGTGGTGGTGGTGGTGGTACCTGAGCGAACGAGCGAGCAGTCAGCACCGTGTGCACATCAGTTGGCTTGGTTTGGGTTGGTTGGTTGGATGGACGGATAGTCCCAGGTTGAGAGAGTGGCTGTGCAGGAACAGGGCAGGAACAGGGCAGGGCAAGGTTAGGGCCGGGCTGGGGGCCACCTACTGCTATTCTCAGCCACATCCACATCCTCCGAGCTCTTCGCACGTGTCCGACTGACAGCAACAGCGACGGCGACAGCGACATGCCGACCAGGCCGAGAACTCCCCCCCGCGGCACTCTCGCGCAGCACGAGCTCTTCCTCAGGAAACATGGCGGGGTAGGCCGGGACCGGGGCCGGGACCTCTTGCCCCGGAGCGCAGCCGACGCCGTGCAGGGTCTGACACCTTGCACAGCGACGCCGGCCGGGTTGGTGGCAGGGGCAAGGCATGGGCAAGGTTTGCGTGATGGCGTGGTAGGTGAATAGATTTTATGTGAGCGAGCAGGTGAGTGAGCGATGGATGGCAGGGCTGGATATGTAGTCGGCCTGCGCCTTTATCTGGCTCTCTTCCTCTCTCTTTCTTTTTTTCTCCTCAATGGAGCCAACGGTGGTGGACGGGTGCCACGAGTCGGTCCAGACGTAGGACAAATGTGGACGGGAACCAGACGAGGCAGCGCATGGGTCGGTGGGCGGGGCGGCGAGGCGCGATCACCAGGTGGTGCAGCAGCAGCAGAGGCGGTGCGGGAGGGTGTGGCGCAGGCGTGGGTGTGTTGGGGGCGCGGGAGCTGGTGCCGTTGTTGTTGTTGTTGTTCCAAATTGGACCCGGAGCAGGTAGGAGCTAAGGCAGATATATATGGAAAGCGGAAGAGTGGACGGGGGCGGGGGCGGCGGCAGCGGCGGCGGCGGTCCAGCCGTCTGCTAACAACCTAGTGGGGAGCGCGGGTGGTAGGTAGGTATAGGTATGTAAGTAAGGCGAGCGGTATATGCCGGCGACGGGCAGGCGGGATGGTTGCACCACGGGGGGGCTAGACAGGCGCGAAAGCGAGAGCGAGCAGACGACGAGTTTATATGGGTAGAAGAGGAAGGCCGAGAGAGAGAGAGAGAGGGTAGGTAGGTAGGCAAGACGCGCGCACGGATGCCGCCCAGCACCATCTTCCCTCGCCACGACACGCCAGCACGGCCCTCGAAGGGCAGCGGGACGCGGGCAGGCGGGCGCCATGGCTATGGTAAGCCCAAGCACGTCCTCGAGCCCATCCGTCTGTCTGCGGCTGAGCATAAGCGAGCGAGAGAGCGCCATGTCGAGTCGAGCTCTCCTCCTTTGAGCGTCATGTGCCGCGCGGTCGACGTGTGTATGTACAGTACAATGCATGGCAGGGTGGCCGCCGCCCGGCTGGCAGCCCGCGCGGCCTCCACCGTCCACGGCGCGACGGCACTGCGTATGCTCGGGAGCGGCGTGCCGAGAGGCTGCTGCAACGTGATGGCCTCGTGAGCAGGCGCCGTGGTTGCGCTGTGCTGTGCTGAGCTGTGTGTCGTCGGCGACGAGTCGAGGGTCGATTACGGCGCGCCGTCCCTGGGCGCAGATCTCTGCTGCGCGCATGGGAAGTGCTGGGCCCGCCGGCCAGGCACACACACAGCAGGCTCGTAGTAGGTAGGTGGGAAGCGGCCCCTGTCAGCCGGGTGCCGCACCCCAAGCTTTCCACGCGATCCAATGCCGCCGCTCACGAGCAGCGCGCAGAGCTCGGCGGATCGACATCGAATTTCAGCGGGGGCACGCCACCATTACTACCGCATGTAGAGCACAGGACGTGTTGTTCGCGGAGCATCTGAGCAAGCAAGTAGGCAGGCAGGAAGGCAGGCAGGCAACCGCACAGCGCCACGCCACGCACACGCGCTGCCATCCATGATCGTCCCAACGGCCTTGCTGGCCGGCCGGTTCAGCGTCACCGCAACTCGAAAAATAGCTTGGCAGACTCGTCGCAAGCTGCTGTCGTCGCTGGAGTGAAAATCCCCCTCCACCACATGATGGGAGGGCCAACAGCGCGCGGAAGCTAGTGCTTACTGGCCCCCGCGCAGGTACGAATGCCCGCCCGGCCGGCCCGCTATTTTCATCTCGAAACACAAGGCGTTTTTCGTATTGGGAGGGAGTGTTGTGTCTGCCGTCGCGGCCCCATTTTGCTGCTTCGCCGGCAGAGGTGGGGAGGGGAGCTAGCTGCACCCCACTTGCTCATCCACCTGGAGATCAGCCCGCAGCGATGCGAACATCTGCAGAGCTAACTAGCTAGCGATCATTGGCGGCGATCGCCGTTGTACCTATTGTGTGTATGCACATGCGCATGTAACCGGGCGTTATTGAGGACCCCACTGGCTGGCGGCAGTGCAAGCTGGCTCCTCCGATCGGCGGCGCCAGGTGACGTGACGAGCAAATGGCCGGGCTGTTCCTGGCGCTTGAAACAGTGACGCTAGGCGGCCGTCGCACGGCGAAAGGGGTCGTCCTCTGGGCGAGGGTCCGGGGCAGTGAAGCTGGTGGTGGTGGTGGAGGCCAGACGCGCTTCTGCACGGATGCGCCCGCTGGGTGCCAGTCTGAACGTGCTCCTCGCTATACTTTCGCCAACTCGTTTCAGCCATGCTTGCCATTGATCACGGACGAGATTGAAATTTTTCCATGCAGAGAGAGAGAGATGCAGGGAGAGCTGTCACGGTCTCCTGGTGCAGAGGGGCTGCAGGGATGCGCCTCTAGTCAGAGTGTGTGGCCGATGGCGTAGTCGACGCGCGATCAAGACGATGCCGGCGACACCACCACCCCGCGGAGCCTTGCAAGAGGACAACCAACGTGGCAGCAAGGCGCGATTCGCAAGAGCTTCCACTTGCGCCGGTGATGGGCACAGCATTGTATGTGCGCGCGCGCGCACAGTCGCCAGCTATCCCACCACGCCGCATGCCATGCCGGACCCATCCGCGGCCCGCAAGGCTGAGAAGCATAGGTATGAAGCGGCGGCCGGCAGCGGCGCGCGGAATTTCTGGAAGCGCGTTCGGCGGGTCCCCGGTCACCACTAATCGAGTGGTGAGTGGATGTGCGCGCGCGGCGCCGTGTCGTCTGTCGCCATGCGATTGGCTTCCCCGCCAGCGGGTGCCTCTGCCTCGGCACGGAACCGCTGCAGGCGACGCAACCAACCGGCCAAGAATGAGGCTCTTTCATGGCGGTGTGAGCATTCGTGGCTGCTGCTGTCGACGTGGCTCGAGTCGCGCTGTGAAGGAGCCGAGGAGGGAGCCTGTATGCATGCCCATCACGGTCCGTCCTTTCGTCTGGCGGAGCCAGCGGCGGGACAAGCAGACCCGCTAGGCAACCGGGCAGCGCGCGCGCGCCCAAGACGGCGACGCAGCATGCCGGTAACCGGGCGTGCGTCGATCAATTTTTGGAAGGTTATTCGGTTTGGAACCTGGCCGCGGTGCCATTGGCAGACGGAACGCACATGGCCTTCTAGAAACTTTCATGCCGGAGCCACCTCATTTCCCTTCATCAAAGGGTGTGGAGACCTCGGAGACGGAACTCTCCAGAGCAGCGTAGGCGATTGGCTATCTCGGGCGGCACGCGCGAGCGCTGCAATAAACCCCCTAGCGAGCACTTCCTTAAACCGGAAGCGCACGACGATGTTCGCCACGGCGGGGCAAGAGAGGGTCGCACCATCGCCATGCACGCCGGCCGGTGAACATGGAACACCAAGGCGACTCGGGACCCAATCAACGAAAATCCCCGGGCCTCTTTGGCGGCGAGCATGCAATAGCGTTGCATCGGCGTAACCGTCGTGGAGCAAAGCAGGCGCAGCAGGAGCCGGAGCAGGAGCCGGAGGAGCAGCAGCAAGCCCAAAAGCTTTCTTCATGCACCACTAGCCGTTTCAAAGCCCGCAGCAGCGGGCCTCGTGCCTGCGCGCTCCTCCATCCGCCGCCGGGCGTGGCCCGCATGATCTAGCGGCGGAGGCACCGCCGCCAAAAAAGCAATTCGTGCATACGCATCCATCATCATCATCTCAGGCAACGACGAGACATGCATGACGTGAAAGAAAAGCAAAAACCAAACAGACAGACAGACAGACAGACAGACAAAAGAAAAACCAGCAGCAACAATGACGAGACGTACGTCCGCAGAATTTAACGATCGCGATCGACAGAGAAATAAAAAGAGAAAGAGAGAGGGGTGTCCAAACCTACAGCATCGCTCTCACCAACCCCATACCTACCTTAGGTGGATATCCTACCCAACCACGCGCAACCCCAAAGCGTCAGCGCCCAGCGCCCAGCGCGCCGCTCGTCGCACAACGCTCACCCACCCACCTACCTCTCTACTCCTTGCCAAAACGGCACAACCCGCGAAAAGAACCGCGGCCCGTCCCACATCATCAGCAGCAGCAGCGTCTCCATGGTGACCGGCAGAGACGACGACGCCAAAGAACGTTGCCGTTGTCGTTGTCGTAAACGTTAACGTTACCGTTCGTTGGCGGCCGTTTTTGGGGCCCGCTGGAGCTATGTAGGGCGGCTAGGCCGACAGCGGGAAAGCGCTGCAGCTCGGATCGCCGCTGCCGAGGCGCCTGGGCAGTGCGGGCATGGAACGGGCACTTGCTTCTGGCAGGTAACTAGGTAGTTAACTACGGAGGATGCCGTAGGTGGTGGATGGGTCTGTAGTAAGTAAGTAGGTAGGTAGGTAGGTATTTATAAGCAGCATACGCGTCTTACTTTGATGCTTTTGTTTTTTGAAATGTCGTTATAAAGTAGCTTTTTTGCTAAATTATCTCGTCACTTTGTGTACCAGCCACTCGTGCGGTAGCACCAATACGCACTCATCAAGTGCTGTTGAGAACAGATCGCGTGAGATCTTAATGATGATGCTGCTTTCTGATTAAACGCCAACTGCTATCTGGCCCCGCCATCATGGTGTATTTTTTGCCCTCCAAAATGCAGAAATGTATATAACCAGACCAAGAAAATGAAAAGAAATGAACGCGGCGCCGCGTCTATTTGCTGCCGAGAACTTCCCTGCGCTTCTGCACTGCCCCGGCCAACTCTGCGAGGACGGCCTCGGTGTCTTCCCAGCCGATGCAGGCGTCCGTGATGGAGACGCCGTATTCGAGGCCGGCGCGGCCCTCCTTGGGGACCTTCTGGCTGCCTGTGTGAAAATGTTAGCGCCGCTGTGATCTCAATTGAAACCTGCTGCCGACTTACCCTCTTTGATGTTGCTCTCGATCATGACACCCATGATGGACGTCTCGCCCGCAGCAATCTGCTCGGCCAGGACATGCGCGACCTTGGGCTGGTTCTTGTGGTTCTTCTCAGAGTTGCCATGGCTGCAGTCGACCATGAGGCGGGAGTTAGTGCCCGTCTCGCCCAGCTTCTCCTTGGCCTCCTTGATGCTCTTAGCGTCGTAGTTGGTGCCCTTCTTGCCGCCGCGCAGGATGATGAAGCAGTCCTCGTTGCCGACGGTGCCGACGATGGCGACGACACCGGGCTTCGTCACCGACAGGAAGTGGTGCGGGTGTCTGACGGCGCCAATGGCGTCAATAGCCACGCCCAGCGTGCCGTCGGTGCCGTTCTTGAAGCCGACGGGGAAGGACAGACCCGAGGCCAGTTCGCGGTGCAGCTGGCTCTCGGTGGTGCGGGCGCCAATGGCGCCGACGCTCAGCAGGTCCGCCAGGAATTGCGGGGAGATGGTGTCGAGCATCTCGCTGGCCAAGGGCATGCCCTTCTCCGTCAGGTCGACGAACATCTGGCGCGATATCCGGAGACCCTTGTTGATTTGGAAGGAGTTGTCAATGTCCGGGTCGTTGATCAGGCCCTTCCAGCCAACCGTGGTACGCGGCTTCTCGAGGTAGGAGCGCATGACGATGAGCAGGTCGTCCTGGTACTTCTCCTTCAGCTTGAGCAGGCGGTCGCAGTACTCGAGCGCCATGGCTGGGTCGTGGATGGAGCAGGGTCCAATGACTACCAGCAGGCGTTGCTTGGGGTCGGTGCCCTGCACAACAGCCACTGCTTCATTGCGGCCCTGGATGACCGTGTCCTTGGACTTTTGGCTCTGGGCAATCTCGTGCTGGAGCAGATTGGGCGGCGTCAGAGGGTTGTAGCCGCGGATGCGCCAATCCTCGGTCGTGGTCTTGTCGCCCACGTTTTTGTTCTCGATGTAGAACTGTGTGATGGGTTGAGTCAGTCATTGCTATGCAGCTCGCGCAAAGCGGTGGTGGCGTACCTGTCCGGACATTGTTGCGAAGGAATAACTAACTCAAAGAAGGGGGTATCGAAGAGGGTATGAAGAGAATAACACGGAGAAGGTGACTCGGAGGTCAAAACTGTAGCAGAGGATGTTTTCTCAGCTGGAGAGGCGGGTGGAAGGTGGGTTGTTAGTGCTCGACCAGGATGAATGAGTAACAGGGCGCACGGACGGTGGTGCTTCAAAAAGTCGCCCGATAAATCCCTGTCCCTGCCCCTCACCTTACTGCACCGCCCATCATTGGCCATTGACCCTTCAGCACCAATGGAACTGAAGGAGCGTCGCAAAGACATGGGCATGGAGGGGAAACCATATCCCCCAGAGGCGTTGAATGGTGGAATAATGCTGCATCTCTGGCCTCAGCAGCACTCAGCACCGCACCGACCGCGGAGCAGATCCGCGCCCGTCCCGCCCTCCAACTTACGTCACTGGCCGGTGGTAGCTAACTATGAACTCATCGCAGCAACGCCGGCCTCCAAAAAAGAGTGCCCGTCTTCACCAGGCTAACAACAAACAACAAACCGTACATTCAGACTTCACGCAAAATCAAACACCATGGCGCTGTCTCTAGAATCCTTCAAGACAATCCCCACCTCCTACGCTACCTGCTCAGTCGGCTATAAGCCCGAGCACACTCTCCCAAAGAAGCTCGAGGCCATCGCGGCCGCCGGCTTCCAGGCCATCGAGCTGTCCATGCCAGACGTCCTGTCCTTCGCAGAGCTTCACTTACGGAAAAAGGTCGGGCCCAAGGACTGGGACGACCTTTGTTACGCGGCCAAAACCATCAAAGCACAGACGGACGCCAAGGGGCTAAAGGTCCTAATGCTGCAGCCGTTTGCGAACTTTGAGGGCTGGGCTGAGGGCTCGCAAGAGAGGGCAGACGCGTTCGACAGGGCAAGAGGCTGGGTGCGGATCATGGAGGCCTGCGGGACAGATATGCTACAGGTAAGCGCGGCCACTAGGCCCTACCGGCCGGTCCCACAAACAACAGCCAAGAAGAACTCCTAGCTAACGCGTTGCCCAGGTCGGCTCGTCAGACACGCCGGCTGACAAGATCGGCCTCGACCGGAGCCGCTTCGTGGCCGACCTCCGCGAGCTGGCCGACCTCCTCGCCGAGAAGGGCTTCCGCATCGCCTACGAGAACTGGTGCTGGTCGACGCACGCACCCGATTGGAAAGACGTCTGGGACATTGTGCGCCAGGTCGACAAACCCAACGTCGGCCTCTGCCTCGACACGTTCCAGACCGCCGGCGGCGAATGGGGCGACCCGACCACCGAGTCCGGCCTCCTCGAGGACGTCTCCAAGGAGCAGGTGGTCGAGCGCTTCACGCGCAGCCTCGACCAGCTCGCCCAGACCGTCCCCAAGGACAAGATCTACCTGTTGCAGATCTCCGATGCGTATAACCCCAAGCAGGCATTCAGCAAGGACGCCGATGAGCAGGGCCTCCGGCCCCGCGGCCGCTGGAGCCATGATTTCCGCCCTCCCCCCTTCAATGGTGGATATCTGCCTGTCGTGGACGTGACGAAGGCGGTGCTGCGCACGGGCTTCCGCAGCTGGTTCTCCTACGAGGTGTTTGACGGTGGCCCGGAGGGCAAGGGCCTGGAGTACGACATGGCCGAGTACACGGCCAAGGCGATGGACTCGCACAGGCAGCTGCTTGAGGCGAGTGCGGAGCAGCCTGCCGCGTGAGTGGGTGGGGGTTAGACTTACGACGTTACGAGTATGAAAACATAAATGACTTTTTTTTGTTCACCAGTTGCCTGAGTAGACCCTCATTGGGATTTGAGGATTGGGACATCTCTGCTGTCTAGAGATTATCTGCAGATTGAGCTAGTAGGCTGGCGCCATTGAGGCATTTGTGTTGAGAATTGTTGCCAACTGCGGTCATTCATGTGGCAATTGCTGCAGCGCGGGTTGCTTGCTTGTTTGCGAAGACAGCAGCTGTCGCGCGCAAAGCTGCCAACGAGACAGGTCTTGAACAAGCACGAGACTCTCTGCACGCGCTCGTGAATAGTTTGCATGATGGAACTCTGGCTGCCAGTGATGGTGAAGGCAACGATGACTTCAGCAGTCCAGGTACCGCAAGAAGCCATGTCCCAGCACATTCCAGACGGCAGATACCCGTCGCTGAATTGACAAGAAAGATATCGGCGAATGCAATGTCTTCCACTTTACGTCGGCCAACAGGCCGGAATCGGGGCGGACATCACATCACGTGCGCGCGAGGCTCTCGGAAATCTCGACGCTTTTCGCCGACGATCTAGCTCCAGCATCTCATCTTTCACCCGGCCCATCCATCCATAAAATCCTCAAGAAGGCCTCGCCACGCCACGCCACGCCACGCCACGCCGCCCAATCTCGCGCGCAGAGCCCGCTGTCTCTCGTCCCATCTGCTCTCGAAACACCATGGTAAGCGCAGAAACCCGCCGTCTTGCAATGCGGCAAGACTTTAGAACTTCCTACCCTGCGCCCACCCTCCGCCGTCATCACCGCTGCCGCCGCCGCCGCCGCCGCCGCCGCCGCAGTAGCAACAGCAGCGGCAGTGGTGGCAGCAGCAGCAGTAGTATTGGTAGCAGCAGCAGCAGCTAACACAGCCCACACAGGCCCACCGCATAATAACGCAAGTGGTGATAACGGGGTCGCGCGTCTTCGGGCGCGCCGTAACCGAAGCGTGGAAGCAAGCCCAAGCGTCGCAAAAATACGCGCAAGCAGCGGGCAAAGCCGGGGGAGCGGCCGCGCTGTCAACGGGGCTCACGCTCGACGAAGCCTGCAAGATCCTGAACGTCGCGCCGCCCAAGGGCGGAAAAACGGACATCGAGAACGTGACGGAGCGCTTCAAGAAGCTGTTTGATCTCAACGACCCCAAGAATGGCGGCAGCTTTTATCTGCAGAGCAAGATTCTACGCGCGAGGGAGCGCATTGAGATGGAGGTCAGGACGGCGGAGCAGGTTGCGGAGCGCGAGAAGGAGCTGGAGGAGGGGTGGAAGCCCAAGGTTTATAAGGACCGGTGAGGGAGGGCAAGGGTGCGAGCTCGAGTTGGAGAAAGGGTTTGCTTGCTTGCTTGTGGGCGAGCTGGCTGCTGAGGACACACGTTTTATCTGCGCGCGCATCGCATGGCGGCATTTGCGCTCTGCATGGCATCAGCATGGAGTTTTTGGAGTCGGGGGGTTTGGGAGACGCTTCTTTTGCCCCAGGACGAGGGACCGCGCACGGCTACCCTTGGGGGGAAAAGGGGAAAAACACGCGCCCAAGAGGCCTTCGGCGGCTGCCTGCCATCTCTCCCCTCTTCGCTGTATTGTATATTTATGTGCGTTGTTATCTATTGAGGGAGTGGGAATCATCACAATCACACCACACTTGCATGCCATGACGGGCTGCCCAAACCAAGCTAGACGGTTGTCATTGTTGCTGTCTAATCTACGCTGAGGCGCTACATGAAGGGGTCCAGATGGCAGTGTATCTTCTTCCTCGGCCAGTCACTTCTTTTCCTCCTTCTTCTCGCCCTCCTTCTTCTCCTTCTTGATGGGGTTCGGGTTGCCCCCAAAGTCCAGCTTGCGCGGCTCCATGTACTGCTTGAGCAGGTCGTCGGTGACGGCCTTGCGGCGCTCCTGGAAGCCGCGCACATACTCCTGCGTCAGGCGGATGCACTCCTTCTTCATCTCGCCCGTGAGGATCTCGCCCTTCTTGTAGCCGTCGTACAGCGTCTTGAGCTTGTCGTCGTCCTCCTCAAAGTACGTGACATACTGGTAGGCGACGTCGATGTCGGGGTTGCCGCCGAGCTCGCGGTGCAGCTCGAGCGTCTCCTGGCCGCCGGAGAAAGCGTGGCTGTTGACCTTCTTCTGGATCTGCTTGGGGGTGTCGGACATGAAGATGGCGCTGTTGGCGTTGGAGGCGCTCATCTTGCCGCCGGCGCCCTGCAGGGCCGTGAGGAACTTGGAGTGGATGAGGGCGGGCTTGGGCGACGGGTTCTTCATGCGGTGGGCATTGTCGCGCAGCAGGCGGAAGTACGGGTCCTGGTCGATGCCGCAGGGGATCAGGCAGGGGATCTGCGCCGTCTTCTTGTTGCGGAAGTCGGACGCCGGGTCGTCGCCCCAGAGCTCCGGGTACGACGTCGCAAACGCCGCAACGCACTGCAGCATGGGGTAGAAGATGCGGCCCACGTTGGTGCTCGAGTCGAACCCGAACGCGCCGCGCACCTGGTTGAAGGTGACGAGCTTCGAGAACTCCCACGCGTTCAGCAACATGTGCCCGCCGACGTACTTGAGGTCGCTGTAGATGAACGTCTTCTTCAGGTCGAAACCAATGGCGATGATGTCCTTGGCATTGTTGCGCGCGCACTGCATCGTCTCCTCGAAGGTCAGGTTGTCCTTGAACAGGGCCTTCTCGTCGTCGGTCAACATGATGACGAGCGGCACGTCGAAAACGTCCTGCAGCCACTTGGTGAACTCAAAGGGGATCGTGTGGCCAATGTGCATGCTGTCGGACGAGGGCCCGCGGCCGGTGTAGAGGAAAAAGGGGCGGCCCTGCTCGTAGAAGTCCAGGATGCGGTCGAGGTCGCGGTGCGAGAAGAACAGGCCGCGCCTGAGCCAGCGGTGAGCCTTCTTGCCGGTGACGCGCTCGAAGCGCTCAATGAGCTCCTGGTCAATGAGCTTGGTGTTCCATTTGCGCGAGATGGCCTCGTAGTCAAAGGCCAGCACGTTGCCCTCCTCGTCCGTGGCAGCCGACACGTCCCACGGGTTGATTTCCTGCTCGATGGCCTTTTTGGGGTTGTCGGTGGCGGTTTCGGCCAGCGAGAGGGCCGACACCGCCGGCGGCTCGCCCATCTGCGTCGTGGGTTGCTTCTCGGCCATGGTTGTTGGGTGAAGTGGGCTGTTCGAAAAAAAGGACACACAGTCATACTGCCCGCCAGGCCCGCCCCGCCGCAGACCCCGCGCCAAGGCCGAGATTGCCGCCTCATGACTCAGCCACGTCGGAGGTCTCGCGCCGGTCTTCCTTCCTCAACATCAACAGCAAACAGCTAAACGCCAAACATCTGGCATTTCGAATTTCTTCCAACGCTGAAGATGCTAGAGTATCGTCGGAAGCCTCGTGATACATAGCGATGCTATCGCCGTTCAGGAGCGCGCGCCGCTCACTGCTAGTAAGGTTCTCATTTCTATTTGAGGTACTCTTATTAGAAGCGGAGCGAGCGGAGCTTCTTCTATACAGAATACGGACAGCCGGCTAAACCGTAGGAGGCCTCCAATTTGTCAGCTTCTCAAGCAATCATCATGTGATCTGGTCATTAGCCGTATACAAACACAAGCAGCATCACTGTTTTCCTCATATATAAGAGCATTGACGGCTACAACTGTAGGAACAAGGGCGGTACCTAGAGCATCAAAACCAGCATGAAGAACTATGCTCTCAGAGGGTGCTCTCGGGAAGTCGCGCAGCGCTATATAGTTACATTCACGATCTCCAGCCGACCACTCGATACGGCCACCGCCGTCATCGCGGTTACTACGTATGCTACTGGAAGAAGGCAAGCCCCCATTTCTTTACCTAGCTTGCTCAATTAGTGCTATAGCGTTCTTCATTGACATCGCATACGCAACAGCACATCTCCGCTTTCCTCACGGCCTACGAGCTTTAAGGCTACCGATATGAACGCGCCATGCGCGGTAAAGATTTATTACTTTATAATCTCCCTACCATCAGACTCCAGCACAACGGAGCTATCCCCATCTACGCTTCTCGCGGCTTTCGCCTTTGTCGCCACAGCACGTCACTATACTCCGCAGAGCTCTCATTGCGGACGGTACGGTGCTCAAGATGGCCACGAACACTTACCCAGCACCAGGCCGACTCCTACTCAGGACGACGCTTAAAAGGGCGACCTCGGTGGTCGTTCCAGCGCACCGTCAAGCCTCAGCCATCATGCTCCTATTCAGGTCGACACTCTGAAGGGCGCCGTCAGTGATGAGGATTTCTTCACAAAGACACTGGGCGGCTTTCCCAGTCATGAAGCCCAGAACCAATCTACTCTGTCCTGGCCGAAGATTCCTATAGTCCTTCCAGACTTTCCAGTACTGATGATGATCGTCTACATCTGCATCTCATGCTGGCAATCTCCAGCACGTGCGAATGCTGACTTGCATCGATCGCTGGCATCAACGACCATCAAACACACAAAAGCACGCAGTCTCCAGCCCGAGGTATCACGTCGAACTCACAACTGACGAATACTCTTCGGATGAAACCCCACGCATGAAGGTTTGGGCAGACGGTGTTTCACCTTGACTAAGCGTTGCGTGTATATCTGTATCGACATCGAGGCTCCGTCACCGTCGACCGAGATGCACTGTTTAGCGACACAGGGAACGGTATAGGCAGGCCCTACGGAGTACGCCTTGTCTAGCTACAGGCCTAGATACTAGATACGATAAGAAGAACTTAGAATACGCATGGCAATAACGTAGCACTCGCACCGTCCACTGTGTAGCCGGACACAGAACGACGCAAGCAGACGCCACAGCCCCCTCCCTATCTAGCTAGGTAGGTAGCTACGTGCCCAGATCCCGAATACAGCAAAAAGGCCTCAGAGCACACGCACGCATACCGCAACCCCCCAACCCTCCCCCCTAACCGAGGTCTTTCTTCTACTCCGTGCACGCAGCGCCATAGCGCAAGCCTGTGCGATCACTACCTACCTACCTAACGTCCGTCACTACAAAGCGCGATCCAGACACAGCCGCAGACACGCAGTGTACATGTACATGTTCCACATACGCAGCCCACACGCGACGCAACCCATGCGATGCAGGTGTGCGCTTCTGACGCACGCATAGTCAGCGCGATGCAGCGCCAACACGCCCTCCCGTAGCCTACACCCCCTTCGTATATACTCTAGATAGAGACGCAGGTATAGTGCCTGCTCTTACGTCCCCTACGCGCACCGCACCCCCCTCCCCTCACCACCGCCCGCTCTACCCCCGCAGCGACCCATCCGGCGCGCATCATCGCTCCCGCAAGCACGCGCACATGCGCCGACGAGTCTGCTGGAGTATGAATTCAGAGGGACGGAGCAGTGAGTGGGTTAGTGCAGAAACGACGGGGCGTGGGGACGAGAACGGGTGTATCTGTCTCTGTATTCGTCATTTTTATGCGTATGGTGTTTAGTTTGCGGGCTGTGCTGCGCGGCCCTCGCAGCTTAGGTAGGTAGGTAGGTACTGAGCTGAGATTTAACATTTTTCTTTTCTATTAGCCCCTCACCCCCCTCACCCCCACCCACCAACCCCCGGAACGCCCGCAACCCTTGAATCGCTTTTCCGCAAAGTGCACGCCCGCGTTACGAGCTCTTGGCGTACTCCTCGAGGTACTCGGCGAGCTTCTGTGCGCCCTCGAGGGGAACTGCGTTGTCTGTGAGGTCGGTTAGCTGGTGGAGCAAAATGGATGTCATAATATAGGCGCGACTTACAGTTGCTGGCGCGGATGCCGCCGACGCTGCGGTGGCCCTTCAGGCCCGTGAGGCCGCGCTTCTCGCCGCCGGCGAGGAAGTCCTTCTCGCGGGCGTCGTCGCCGCCGTGGACGCGGAAGCAGATGTTCATTCTGCTGCGGACGGACTTGTCGGGGACGACGCGGTAGACGCCGGGGTGCTTGTCGAGCACGGCGTAGATGAGCTCGGCCTTCTTGTTCGAAATCTCCTCCTGCCCCGCAATCTTCTGCGCGCCGTACGCCTGCACCAGGCCCTGCATGACCTGCCCCGCGACCCACACGTCGAAGATCGGCAGCGTGTTGTACAGCGAGTTGTTCTTGGCGATGGTGGGCCAGTCGAGGACGATGGGGCCGACGGGGAGGTTGAGCTGCCTGAGCAGCGTGGGCGCCGCTAGTGGGCCCAACAGCGCCTTCTTGACAATGACGATGGTCACGCCCGCGTTGCCAATGTTCTTCTGCGCACCGCCGAAGATGACGCCGTACTTGGAGACGTCGACGCGGCGGCTGATGAAGTTGGACGACATGTCTGCGATGACGGGGGCGACGTCGGGGCCCTCAAGCGCGGCAGGGAAGGCGGGCACCTCGACGCCGTCGACCGTCTCGTTGTCGCAGAAGTAGGTGAAGGCGGCGCCGGGCTGCTTGGGCGTGAGGCTCCATTCAGCCTCGGCGGGGATGGTTCCGAACTTGCCGTTGTTGGCTTTGCGCGCGTCGACGGCCACGTTGACGTGCTCGGAGCCCACCAACCGCGCCGCCTCTTGCGACGCCTTCAGCGACCACGACCCCGTCACCAGGTAGTCGAGCTTCAGCTCGTCCTTGACCTCCTTGCGCAGCCGCTCCAGCACCTCGGCCTCCTTGCCGGCGCCCAGCTCGGCCTCGGCGCGCTGCCGCCTCTTCTCCACCCACAGCGACACCATGTGGTAGACGACGGCGCTGAACTCGCCACTGCCGCCGCCCTGCAAGAACAGGATCTCGTAGTCATCGGGGATGTCGAGCAGGGTGCTCAGGCCGTTCTTGGCGTCGGCGAGGATCTGGTTGGCTTCGGGGGAGCGGTGCGAGATTTCGCAGATGCCAATGCCCTTGTCGTTGTAGTTGAGGAGGGCGCGGGAGGCGTTTTCGAGAACGTTGGTGGGCAGCGGCGCGGGGCCGGCGCCGAAGTAGTGGACGTCGGAGCGGGAGGGCATGACGGTGGTGGTTTCGGGGGGAAGATAGAGAGGAATTGGAGGGATTGGAGGGAGAGAAGTCAGAGAGAATAAAGTTGAATGACTCTGAAAGCTACTGCGATCTCGGCCGTCTGCGGGGCAATCGGGCGGGATGCTGACTCAGCCCGCGAGTCATGTCAAGTTCCCACGGTTCCGCTTTCTCGTCACTGCGACGACCGCGACCGACCGCGACTTGCGACAGCAAATCCAACTCCCCCCCACAAACTCTGCGCACGCCACCCACCACGCTCACTCCACACTTTCGAGCCGAATCTCGTCACCTCAGCTCGACCGTCCGCTTTCGCGTCTCAGTTACGCGTCACCTTGAACCACCTCCCTCAACTCCACTCAGCCTTTTCCACCCGCAACACCGTCAAGATGGGTGGTGATCTCAACTTGAAGAAGAGCTGGCATCCGCTCTTGATGAGCAACCAGCGCCGCGTATGGGAAGAAGAAAAGAAAGCGCTCGACGAGCGCAAGCGCATCGACCAAATGATGAAGGAGCGCCAGGAAGAACGCGCCATCCAGGAACTGCAGGCCATCCAAGAGGCAGCCGGCGGGAAGAAGAGAGTCAACCGCGTCGACTGGATGTACTCTGGCCCAGCGAGCGGCCAGACTGGCACCACCGAGGAGATGGAAGGATACTTGCTGGGCAAGCGCCGCATCGACAACCTCCTGAAGAACGAAGAGAGCAAGAAGCTGGAAAAGGCCTCGGGCGAGGAGTCCTTCATGGCGCTGCAGAACGCCAACACGACGCGCGACACGGCCGTCAAGGTGCGCGAAGACCCCATGATGGCCATCAAGAAGCAGGAGCAAGCCGCCCTGGAAGCCATGATGAACGACCCCGTGCGCCGACGCCAGCTCCTCAAAGCCGCAGGCGGCGACGCCCAAGACAGCAGCGAGCGGAAGCAGCGGCGCCACCGACACAGAGACCGCGACGATGACAACACCCATCGCAGCAGCAAGCACCGCAGCAGCAGGCGGCACGATGACGACGACAACGACGGGCGCCGTCACCGCTCGCATCGCCACCGCTCCTACTCCCGCTCCCGCTCTCCCTACAGGCGCTCCCGCGACGACGACGACGCCAAGCGCGACTCCCACCGCAGCAGTCGCCGGCACTACTCGCGCTCGCCGACGCGGTCGCGCTCCCCGCACAGGCGCATCAGCGGCCGAGGCGAGAGCCGGTACCACGAGCGGGAGCGCGCGCCGCGCCACCACTCTTCGCGGCGAACGACGTCGGGCTCACCCGCGCCCTCGGACCGGCGCGACAACCACAACTACAGCCGCGACCACGCCTACACCCGCGACCGAGACTACGCGCGTGAGCGGCCCACCCGCCCCCAGCGCCGCGCCTCGCCGCCCAGGAAATCCGCAGCCGACGACGAGGCAGCAGCCGAGGCGCGCGCGCGCAAGCTCGCCGCCATGCAGAGCAGCGCGTCGCAGCTGGAGGACGACCGGCGCAAGCGGCTGGCCGCTATCGAGGCGAAAGAGGCCGAGCAGCATGAGCTGGACGAGCAGCAGCGGAGCGAGAAGGGCCGCTTCGTCAAGGACTTGCATAAGCAGGCTGAGCAGGATATCGATTTGGGGGAGCGGCTGAAGAGGTCGAGGGGGGGGTTGGAGCGGTTGGAGGCGTTTTAGTGGGGGTTGTGTGTGGGGTGAGGGGCGTTTTCGGGATTTTCTTTCGTTCTTTCACCTTTCTTTGCGCGAAACGGACGGTTTATCTAGGGATAATGGACTGGACTGGACTGGACTGGACTGGACTGGACGGACAGGCTAGGTAGGGAGGGGCGGTGCGATATCATACACACACCCAAATATACAAGCAAGACACAATCAGCAGAAACAAAAAGACCAAACATAAACAAACAACCCAGATGGCACGCACGCACGTGGCACGCCCAAACGACCTAGGTACCTACTAGGAGTACCTCCCATGAACACACAACTCCCGTCCTGGCTGCCTGTCTACCTAACCTATACATCCGCACGACGTTCTCTCAGTCACTTTCACCATCACCATCGCATTCGCCTTCCTCGTCTACACCTTCGCCTTCGTCAACACGCACATACATACACGCCACAGTTGCGGATGCGGATGCGGACGGAGGCGTTCGTGGCCCTTTGGCGCTTTGGTGTACTGCACTGTACGGTACTGTACTGTTGCGATGTACGCGATGTACCTGGGTGAGTGAGTGAGTGTGTGTATAGTGACAAGTATATTTAAATAACTGCTTCACTTCGGGAAGGTCAGGGAGCTTACGAAGCTCTAGCATGGCGGGTATATTGGTGTTGGTGTTAAAAATATCATCTGTACGAAGTAGAAGATCGAGAGAGCACTCTCATCGCCTTCCTGTCACCGCACAACACCCCCCTCTGCTCATACTCATGCATCCCGTCCGCAACACCTTAATAGCTACGCACTCACTCACTCACTCACTCACTCATCGGCAAGCCTACGGCTCCACGCACCAGAAGTAGATGGTGCACGATCTATCAGCAGCTAGCGCGACGTGCGCGCCCTACCTACTTCACGGCTTCGTAGACGGAGGCGGGCGCTATGACGTAAGAGCGCTTTGGTGACGTTATCAGCCGCACTCTCGCTCTTCTCGCTCTCATTCTCGCGCAACCTATCGTTGCCTCGCGCTACTATAACACCCGTATACTTCATTTAGTTCGTGTTGCAATATTAAACCGGTTGTAGACACTTTACCTGCCCCTCTAGATATATTGTACCCACCCCAGTTAAACATCCATACCTGCAAGACTATATAAATGTAACATACTTTTTGCCCTTTGATAGGTATAAGAATAGAAACTATCTAAGCGTCGTTATGCTTTTCGGATATTTGTTTTTTTACCGTCGTGGTATACGCTGGTGCTTTTATATGTTTTTGATTTTGGTTTTGTGTGGTTGTGTAGTGCGTAACAACTGTGGTGTGATAGTCTGTTATGACTGCCTTGGGAGTACGCTGTAGGTATCGTGGTAGTTAGGGGTGGGCAAGATATTCGGCGCCGTGTTTGTATGTGTGTGTGTATGTATGTAGGTATCTAGCTAGCTTAGAGAGATCTCGTGTGTGTGGTCTTGGTAGATGGTATGGTATGTATGAGGGTGCGTGTGCGTGTGCGTGCGTTCTAATTCTGTTTGTGTGGTGCTTGCTAGGGGTGCCGGCTTTATGAGCCGTTCCCATGCTCTTTCCTCTTCCCTTCCCGTCCCCGTCCCCATCCCCATCCTCTCCTCCCTCTCTCCACCCCCCACCACCCCCTTACACCCCTCCCCGTAGCCCCCAGCCCCCCAACCCCCCAACCCATCCCACCTACGGCAACCGCTCCTCGCGCTCAATCGTAAACAGCACGCTCGCATCGGTGCGCACGACCACCTCCTCAGCCTTGACATGGTTGCTGGTACTCACATTCCCGGTGACACAGGTATACCAATCAGAGACGTCCCACTCGAGCCCGCTGGTCGAGATGGTCGCGGGCCCAAACGCCGGCAAAATGCCCACGTTCTCAGTGAAGAAGCCGGCGCGCACCGCGATGCGGTTCTCGCCCGGGGGCAGGATGAACGACACGCTGCTCTCGGAGAAAAGCCAGAGGCGCAGCGCGTTGTGCTGGTTGTGCGTGCGCAGCATTTCGTAGAGGAGGCCGAGGCCTTGGTCGACGCGGCCGGCGAGGGTGCAGAGGATGAGGATGTCGGTGCCCGCGTCACCCGAGCCGTCTTGCTCGACCCCGTTCGCCGTGTGCTCTTGCCCTGCGGCCCCGTCTCGTGATTCGGTACAACCATTCTTCGTCTGCCCCGCCCCCGCTGTGCGGTTGCAGTGCTCCACTGTCACTTTCTTAATCGCCTTGCCAAAGTCCGTCGAGTACTGGTCGAGGTCCCGCGAGATGGGCACCCCGCGCGACGCGTACCAGTCGCGCACGTCGTCGCGCAGGGAATCCAGGTCGCCGTGGATGACGGAGGGGAGCTGTTTGCGCGAGGCAAGAGAGGCCGCGTTAGCGCTGCTGCTGCTGCTGCTGCTGCTGCTGCAATATGGAATGATTGACAGCGCATGGAAATATCGCGGATAGATGATGCCTGCTCCGGCTGCCTGCTGCGCTGCTGCGGCTTTGGCCGCGCGCGCGCACGAGTGTGGTTCGTGCCGTTGATGTCGGCTGCTTGCTTGCTTGCTTGCTTGCTGCTGGTGCGGCGGCGGCGACGTCCG